AACAGCGAAGTACCCTAAACCCACGAACCCCTAGGTTCCAGATGGGCGCGCCCCCGGTTTCCAAGAAGCTGACGCAGTTCGTCCTCAACGCCCGGAGCACGGCTTGGGGTTGTCGGGTTCAGGGCTTTGGGGGTGCTTTAGATTTTCGAGTTTAACGGTTTTTAGCTTGTGTTGTTGCTTGCAGGCTTTAGACCTTTCGGTCAAGTTTTTCGGGTATTTAGCATTTCTAGTCTTGTGGCTGTTGGAGCGGTTAGCGGTTAGTGTCTGGAGTTTAGGGTTTAGGGTATCAGGGTTCAGGAACTTAAGTTTCGATTTGGACAGCCAGCCCTGGTCTGTTTGTAGCACAGAGGCCCCCAGAACCCTAGGCAGTTGACATTTCGGACTGATATTCCGAGCAAGTTTGCATCTTACACGAATTTAAGGTAAGAGCTTAGGGTCTGGAACATGAGCGGTTGTTTCTGGAATGGTTCGAATCTGCACAGCCTGGTACTGTTGCTGCTGCTAGTGTTAGTATTCGTGTTATCAGTGTTATCTGTATTGCTACTATTACTCCTCTAGGAGTTACCACTACCCCAGTCGCTACCCTCTGCGCACATGTGCTATGAACCACAGGCTATGAACCACACTGAATCTTCAAGTTTGGGCATTTGGGGTTCTGTATCAGGCTCCAGGCCCCAAGCTCATCCCAAAGAGCTAGTTCCCAAAACTCTGGAACCCTCAGCCCTAAACCCCAAACCCCTAAACCCAAAGCTCTAACTCCTAAAGCCCTCGAGCCCTGAACCCTAAGCCATCCTCTGACTCAATCCATCAGGACAGGAAGGTCCTGCGCTTCAAGGGCTACTGGGATGACAACACCCTCTACGGAGCCGCTCGAACTTGAGAAGACCCCGTGTGGGGCCATGCAGTGTTAAGTTCAGGGTTTATTTGAAAGCTCGGGTGTTGGGGGGACGCGTTCGGGTGTAGATGCTTCGGGCTGTAGTTTCAGAGAGCGCCTATGTGGGCACTGGTTTACCATGGCTTGAAGCCCTGCACTCTGCTTCGACCCTAATTACGAGAGCTGCGAGTTAACTCTGATTGCTTGAGTGTTCTTTCTGACTACTAGACAAGGATGCTTTATTAGACAGTTCACATCGAAATTGAAATGGGTTACCATGGTCGACGTCGAAGAGCAGTGTGTAAGCAGAACGCTGTTTCGGTCGTGACTATGCCAAAGGTTCGGTTTGTAAATTAGTATTTCTGGCTTCCTCTTCCGAGTGGCTAGTCTTGGGGCTGTAAACATGAGACGCCCGACTGTGCTTGGAGTAGCAAGACCCCCGACGAATATTTCGGCCTGTGTATCAAGCCTCAAGTGTCAGGTCAAGGGTGAGCTAGGGGGTTCTGGGTTTTGATAGATTGCGAAACAGATGGGGCATGGGAGAGTTTGGTTGAGAAGTCTCGGAAGCTAGTGTCAAGCTGTAGCTTGCATGATGCTCCCACAGTCGGCCTGGAACGTCCAGGCTCGCATCTACTTCAACATCCACTACTACCTCGCAGACAACACCATGGAGTTCAATGAGGCATCCAGAGAGTTACCGATTTCTTCCAAGGTGTTGAGGGTTGGGGTCTCGGCTTGGTGTTCGGAGCTTGAGATTCAGAGTTTGGGATTCGTGGTTTAGTGAAACCTCAACTGTTGCAGGCTTGTTGCTGGATTTATATTTCTTTGCAAAGGGCCCTTGTTTTGATCTCCTTCGACTTTCAACATTCGCCGAAAACACGATGAAATTTATGACCCTAAACCATGTTGTGTGGCGGTTCGCTCAATACCCTTCGACGAGTTCCATCGCTCCCGCTCCCTACCCCTAATTTCGGCAGCCCTAAACCTCATATGCCCTACACCAAACACACTCGAACTGCTAACCCGTAAATTCTCGTCCCTGGAAAGAAGCGATGCGTTTGCCATGAGCCAGGCCCTCTGCCGGAACTCTGGCAGATACCCGGCTCCTGTCACTTGGCACCGGAAACCTGACACCCTTACTCTGAGCCTTGTCGCCCAACGCCGCTCTGGAATAGAAGGGGCATGCACAAAGGCACCTTTAGAAAGAAGACTACCCATCTGCACCACGGCCCACGGAATCTGAGATTTTCTTCAAACGCGGCGTTTTGAAGAAGAAGAACGTCGCACATTGCCGCTCTGATGCATGTCCTGCTTCGTGTGTATAGTATAGGTCCACCAAAACGTATACACCATTGAGGTTCAGGATTGTAGGGTTTGCGCTTTAGGTCACTAAGCCGTTACACAGAAGTCTGAATAACTGCCATCAGCTCGTGAGACAACTATAATCTATAGTGTAACCTCCGAATCCAAACTCTGGCAACCTGAGGCCCCCGTTACACCCCCCACCCCCTTATCAAGGACTTTCTCAAAGACCACAGGCTCAGCAAGCACTAGGCAGCACGTAGTCACTCCTGGCGAGGATTAAGTGCTTAGGCAAGACTTAGAGTCTCAACAGAAGTGCTTGCTAAGGCCTCGTTGGGGGGGGGGGTTCAGATTTCCATGAGAATAGCAGTCTCTAAGCCCAAGAATCCCAAGAAGCCCTTACAGTTTAGGGCGCAGCTGCGCCGGAAGCCCCCGAAGCCCTGGAGGCCCAGCCCCTTTGTTGTGGATACCGAGTAAAGGCGTCCCGGCGATGCTCTCCGACGAGTCCGGTTTCTACCGCCCGGAGGTTGCCAGGGTGTTTCGGTTTTGGGGGCCTTAGGGCCTGCGGGGTTTTAGGGCCTGCGGGGTTTTGGCGTTTACGCTTTTCGGGTGTCAGGGTTGAGAGTTTTATGGTTTTGGGGTATTCAAATTAAGCGTGTTGCGACTCTGAGGGTTGTAGTGTTTTCGATTTAGGGCGGAACTTTCACCGAAATGTGAGGGTTTTTTTCTCCGGAATTTCGAGTTGAAGGATTTCAAAAATTCAAGCCGAAATCCTGATCCCCCTTCAACCCTAAACCCTGAGCCATCCTGAGGGATTCGCTGGCTTCAGGGAGGCAGATGTCGGGTGCAGGGAGGTTGTGCTAAGTTCATGTGGTGTAAACGGGTCATAAGTCTTGGATTTGAGGGTGTAGGATTATTTAGGTTTAAGGGATTTGACCGTCAACCCTGAACCCTCGACGGTAACTCCAAACCAGCTCAGGACGACGGACAAGTCCTAAAGCCCTAGCGATTGTGCAGGACCTTCGTGTCGGCGAGTCCATCGATGTTTGGGGTCGCAAGGCTTTGGCAAGTTTTGGTGTTTAGATATTGATATTGAAGGTTTTAGTGATTTCGGGGCTTAGGTTTTGAAGATGTTGAAGGTTTTTGGTTTTAGGGTGTATGGCTTGAGGGCTTTGGGGCTTGAGGAGTTGAGGGTTGAGGGTTCGGGGTGCTGGGGTCTGGGTTTTATCGGAGAGTTTGTTGGTTCTTTGTTCATTGGATAACAACTAATGTGTGTCATCGTCAGGGAATTTCGATCATTGCTTGGTCTGTGTGGCTGTTGAATTCTATGAAAGTTGAAGTATGAAGAAGTAAGGGGCACCCCCTTTTGAACCCCGAGCCATGAACCTCGAGAGACACAGACACATGGACGTCGCAAGAGAACGTCTGCCCAAGACAGTCAAGCAATGAAGTGCCTAATTAAAGTGTGCCAGGCTGTCCACAGTAGCAGTACTGTTGTGACTCGCGCTTCGATACTTGCAGGGCAAAGGGCATGTGCTGCTCAAAAGCACCTACACAACCCTCTGAAGTCTGAACTCCAGGCCATCATGGGCCTTTGAGCTCATAGGAGATCGACCTTGCCTGTTGTAGGTGGTCCTTTTCGACTGCGACGACTTCACGCAGAAGTTCTACAAGGAGACCTATAAATCAGGGTTTCGCATTATTCCGGCCACTCTCCTTAGGAGTGCTTACAAACAGCGATCCTACTATTCAAGGTCTATAAACGACGTTCCTTACTTGCTGCAGATCTGAGGTAGTTCTTCAGGATTAAGCGGTTGACGCTTCGGGATGTCAGGTCGAGTGGCTCAGGTTCAGGCTTTCGGGAAGCTAGCCTCGCACCCAAATTTAGGAGTTCCGCAAAGTCACCAAACCGCAGTCTTGCGAAAACAAGATAGCCCTGAGCATCACCAGGTACGAGGGCTCAATTAGAATTTGAGGTTGGAGGCTTAAGCCGTGGAGGGCTTTAGGGGCTTCGGCCAGGGTAAGAAGAACGATCAGCACATGATGAGCATGCTGCCTAAGCCCGCAACCCTTAAAAAGCTTAGACGCTGCCCTAAACCTTAAACTCAAAGCCGCCAAAGCCTTAACCCCCCTAGACCTTAATCCGGAGACCTTAAAACCCTAAACCATAGACCCTAAACCCCAAACATTAGCCTTGAACCCTAAACCCTAAACCTTAAGAAGGCCGTCAACCTAACTTAAAAAAAACCTTAAGTCCTACACGCTGCACGGTATCATGGAATCTGTCTCCGTTTGCGCCTTTCGAGTTTGCTGCTTTGGAGCCTAAACCCAGTGTTTAGGGTTCAGGGTTTAGGGATCAGGGTTTAGGGTTTGAGGTTAAGCTTGTAGGGGGATTCTGATATGCTCCTTAGCTGCTGGGCTTTGTGGTGTCTTTGGGAGCCCAGGGCGACAAAAGCCTCGAATCCTCAACCCGCAGCTGAACCGCGGGTCGCGCATTTTTATGAAGGGCTTGTTGAGCAAGTCGCCTGCAGGACTACATGGGCATCAACCAGCGTGACTCGGTCATCGACGTCTCAGAGAAGCCGATGCGACACCTGAAGTGCCCTGTGCAGTTTGTGTGGAGAGCTCTGGGTAGGGTTTGAGGCTTTAGGGCCTGAAGAGTACTGATGCTTGTCTGTAGGCTACATGCTAAGCCGTACAGAACCCAAACATGAACCGTAGGATTAACTCTGCACTTTTTAGAAGATGGATGGGAGCATTTCGTAACCATGTGTTCGGCTCAAGCCTTGTTGGGGCAAGCGGCCGTCCGAGAACTGCAGGCATCATGGCTCTCCGATTGCCGGCGGACAGGAACCATTACGTTACCACCCAAGATGTTTACAACCTACTGTTGCTCGGATGCCACGTTGGCCGGACAGATATTTTCAAGCATGTTTTGCCCTATTTGGGATGGCGCATGCAGTTCCCCAACTGCCCCGTTGCCTCTGGCGACGCAACGTATGCCATCAGTGAGACCGGACAGCTTGTTTGCTGCTTCGGCAGAAACGAGATTGATTTGCCACCAGACCTCGGTCCGGTGGTGGCCTTGGCTGCCGGAGAGCATCACATCTGTGCCGTGAAGGCGACTGGCGAGCTGGTTTGCTTCGGGAAAGGTATTCATAATCGCTATGTTATTTTCAGTCAGTGCGATGTGCCTCCCGACCTCGGTCCGGTGGTGGCCGTGGCTGCCGGAGGACATCACACCTATGCCGTGAAGGCGAGTGGCGAGCTGGTTTGCTTCGGAGCCAGTTGGTTTGGTAAGGTGCCTCCCGACCTTGGTCCGGTGGTGGCCGTGGCTGCCGGACAAGTTCACACCTGTGCCGTGAAGGCGAGTGGCGAGCTGGTTTGCTTCGGAGGTAATAACCGGGGTCAGTGCGATGTGCCTCCCGACCTCGGTCCAGTGGTGGCCGTGGCTGCCGGAGCACATCACACCTGTGCCGTGAAGGCGAGTGGAGAGCTGTTTTGCTTCGGTTGCAATGGGTTTGGTCAGTGCGATGTGCCTCCCGACCTTGGTCCGGTGGTGGCCGTGGCTGCCGGATCAAACCACACCTGTGCCGTGAAGGCGAGTGGCGAGCTGGTCTGCTTCGGTTGCAATCGGTTTGGTCAGTGCGATGTACCTCCCGACCTCGGTCCGGTGGTGGCCGTGGCTGCCGGACCATTTCACAACTGTGCCGTGAAGGCGACTGGCGAGCTGGTTTGCTTCGGAGACAATCGCTTTGGTCAGTGCAATGTGCCGCCAGGCTTGCAGGTTCGGCTTGTCCCACAGTCCATCCGTGCACCCACCCGCGATCCCATCCACGAGGTGCTGCAGGCCGTGCATCACAGCGAGCCTCCCGCTGAAATCTCGGCAGAGGAGGGCGCTACAATCGTGGCGGAACAGGAGGCATCTTGGATCGAGCACAACATCGGATCCGGGTGGCACGGCAACAACTTGCAGACTCAGATGCATGTTGGACCCACTCGTGTGGTGCATTTGACGTTGAGCCGCTCGCATCGCCAGCTGGACATGGATCTGGCGCATTCGCCGGCCTTGCGGCCATGTTGAGGACGAGGGCTTGAACTGGCGGCTCAAGCCCTCTGGTGCCAAGATCTTCATGGAGCCATGGTGCTTCCGAGCCATCCGCAGCCGTCTGTCCGCCATGCAGCTGAGGCCCTGCGACATCCTGGTCGCGGAAAACCTGGAGGAAGAGGTGAGGCGAGTGGTCCGGCAGATCCCCCGCAGCCTTGGCGTGATGCCGAGAAGCTCTCGAGACATCGGCATCGCAGACGATGGGGGAGTGGTTTTAATTCACCGCTCTTATGCTCGTCAATCCCTCGTCTGTTGCTCAGTCCACTACCGAGGCACGGACGCGTCAGGGATACCACGGCACGAACCCGCGCAGATTCCGACTGCCTTCGTGCTGATCTGTTCCGTTCAGACCCTGCTCCCGAGACTACATGAAGGGATGTGAAATCCTTAGCAAGGCCATCCCCGGATGCCCCAAAAGGTCTTGTTGATCCTTGTGACACAACAATTTTGGTGGTCTTCCCGTTGTACAGTTGTTCTTTGCCACAGCGTCTTGGAGTGACTTGCTTTTAGCTTCCTCCATGTGTGCATTTGGCAGAGGCACGGCCTCGGAGCCGGAATCGGAAGCTGCAGCACTATTCAGACCTGAGATGATTTCGCGAAATTTCAGCAGCTACCGCACAATGAAGAGCAGATTTCTTTCCAAGTGTGAAGCTTCTCCCCGATGGTTTCTGTGGTCGTTGCAGCATCCTAGAAAGCAGAAAGCAGGCCAGAGGTCAGCACGGCTTTGGAGAGTGGCAGTATGGTGTGGTCGATTCAAACCATCTTACTAGCCTGGCCCAGCTATCGTAAAATGCAGGCCAAACTGACAAGTGCAGCTTGTTTGCAACCTGAGACACTGAAACGACGATTGTAGTCGCCTCACTCTCTCTGGCTGTCTCTGTGGAGTGACTTGCTCTTAGCTTCCTCCGCCTGAACAGTCGCAAGCGTGACTCGCCGACTCCCTGAGCTCGCTGTCTTCGGCGCTGCGAAAACAGGATGTTCCAACAGCTCGCTTTCGGTGAGGGGCCTCCAGCAATTAGAGACACACTTGCTCCGGTGTTCGAGATTGTGGCAGTTTGTGGCAGACTGCTTTTCGTTTGCGTCTTTGAAGGCGCGGAGTCCTTATGCGAAGCACAGTCGAAGCACCGTAACTATTCGAAGCCGCGCCATTTCATGTTGGTTCATGTGCAACGACCAGAGTCACAGTCACCATCGCAAAGCAGGAGCCATGATCAAATAGCTCTCCAGAACCTAGGGGAGGGCTGCCTGCCGCCATCTTCGGGTCATGCATGTTAAGACCTCGCAATAACATGAACCCTACACCCCACCACGCCGAAGCCAGGTTGCTTCCTCCTCCCCATCAGGGCGTTGGGAAAGAGGAGGACGCTGCTTCTGTCTGTTGTTGCTACCATTGTGTTTTGCCAGGGTTTCGTTCTGCCCATAGACCCATCGAGTTAGCATGAGAAAATTGAAGAGCACTCTATCCTCATCAGCCAACCGCCGAAGACATCATGTAAGCATCGTAGAGGTCGTGGGTTCCCTACAGCGCAAATCCGTATCTACAGCATGTCCTCAGAGGCCCTTTGCTTTCCGTCGGTTTTTCATGTTGGACTTCCCGTCGGGTTCGCGTGACTCTTTTTTTTTTTTGTAGCGGTTTTGTTGTGTTGTTTCGGCTTCGTGGGCCACTGGCCGTGGCCTTGTATCGCAGGACTCACTCATCTCCTGTCAGATGATCAACGTCAAGGTCCGGAGAGATCTGTTTCGGATTTCTGCGGGTTCGAACACTGACGCCTAGAGTGCCTAGAGCCCAAGCCTTACGTCCAAAGGCCGAAACTCCGATCGCTGAACCCCAGGTCCACACCAGGTGCGAGACCCCAAAACCCCACGAGGAGAGGCCAGGTCGATAGTTGGTATTAGCATCATGGCTTGATGTGTTTTCATATTAGTTAGGTTTGATACCATCACGGTAGAATCGGGAAGGGGCTGCTGCCATGTTTTGAAGAGATTCCCACTTCAACACCGCGTATGTCAGACAACGTATGCACATCTAGACAACACCACATAGAGCCGTCGACAAAATCTAGAAAACCCCATGCTCAAAATAGAACACCTGTTAGAAACGCACACCTGCTAAAAACGCACAATTCCGAACCCCAAGCCCCTGCTGCTGGCCGCCAGCCGCCGAAAGTGGACCTGGAGAAGCTGATGGTTTACACTGGCGAGGCCCACCTTTAGGGCTTTAGTGTTATTTAGGGTTTAGGGTTTAAGGCTGAGGGTTTAGGGTTTAGGGGCCAGATTGCGACCCCCCGGATTTGCCCGGAGGCCCAAAAAACGCTTGACTCGCTTGAGCGATAGACCTTAAGGCAAATTAAGGACCGCGGAACTGAGGTCCCAAAACCCCAATTCCCAATGCCAATACTTGAACCCGACACCCTGAACACTCAGCATCGAAACCCCGCAAAGTTCCAGCCTCCGCAACAGGTGCTCCGGTTCGAAGCGAAGATGATCAACGGACAGGTCTCAGAACCGGCTGCACGGTGCAATGTTTGCTTTCATTTGTGGGGTTTAGGGTTCAGGATCATGTACAGTTCAGACAGTTTAACCTCGAAGTTGTAGCTAAGGTTTGGGGTTTGGAGTGTAGCACTTGGAGTTTACAGTGGAGATAGAATGCGTCCATGCTTGGAAGTTCAGGCAGGATTGGTTATGGTTCGGTGTTGAACGTCCCTCGAAGTAACTTGGCAGTTGGAAAGCTATCTATAACAAACTATTGTCCTTGTGAGAAGGGGCTATCTATGCTATTTGATGTTGCATCTTAGTTGAGGGACCAGGGTAGAGTTGAGAGGTTCAAAAGTCAGGTTTATAACGGTTCTCGGCTTAAAGGTTTGGGATTGAGGGGCCTGAGGGCTTGAGTACTCGGGAAACTGGCCAGTTCCCAAGCCGTCTAGGGAGGGAATCTTTAGGGTTTGGGGTTTTGGGGTTTCATGGGCTTTGGATAGAATAATACGGTATTCGGTATTCACATTCCCCAGGCTGGCAAAAGGATATGGGATTTGCCATTCCAGCTACGGCTACGCGGTTGTTTCGAGACTCGATGACATGCTAAGTGGAGTTTTTTTGCATAAGGGAAAATATTTTTCGAGAGAACTTCCCAGCCCAGCCTCACTAAACCCCAAACCGTGCACCAAAGATCTTGCAACCCGGAAACTCTTACCCATAAACCCCAAAACCCTGAAACCCTAAATCCTCAGGCCCAATAACCCTAAACCCTAAACCCTAAATCTTAAGGCCCAATAAGCCGAAGGCTTGAACTCCTCCCAACATGCCCACGCCAGGTGGAGGATGAGATGCGTTTGCTGGTCTGGTACCCGGATATCCTTTTGTGGCTATTGGTTTAGGGTTTACGGTTTTCGGGTTTTAGGGTGTTAGGTTTAGGGTTTTGGGTTTTAGGGTTCAGGGTGTAGGGTTCAGGGTGAGTTTACGGGTAAGCTGGAGTTCGACAGTAACTGTGAGGTTGATGAGTTAGAGGTTTCAGCGCTCACGTCCCAAGCCACGTGCATTGCAACAAACTCCCACTCAAAGCCGGCTATGGCAGAAGGAGGCCGGCATGCAGAATGACAATTCCGATCATATCCTCTAAGCTCCCGTTCGTGCTGAGGTTATAGCCTTCTACCCGCACGATGACGAGGTACGACAAGCTTCCATGCCTTAGTGCACGCTATGCTTAAAAGCCCAGGGTTCTTTTATTCAGATGCTCGGCTCCTGGGGGCCCCCATTTCGAGCACCAAAGATTCGATCCTAAACTTCCTAAGACTTGAAGACCCAAGCAAACCAGCAGCCCGAAATCTTAAAACTCTAGTCGTGCGATGGGGTCCCTAAACCCCTGAGCCAAGGCCAAGCTTTCGACTGTAAGGCAAGGAGACTCAAGCTTAAGCGCCCGCCTCAATGCAGAATTTCCAGGGGCCGGAGAAAAAGAGCAGACTATCCTAGGGTAAGTCCGATAATCCAAAGCAACATGCTTTGGGCGATTTTGAAGACCTTCAATGCCTGGAGGTTGGGCCGTCAAGTGGCATTCATCCCTAGCTTTTGCTTGGGATTCTGGTCAGGGTCTTGGGGGTTTCTTCTGTTTTGTGCCTGCTTTGCTTGAGGTTCCTTCGCCAGAGTTGTATAAGCTTTTTACGGGTTTCAGGTTTTGTGATGGGCGTGTAAGGGGTATATGCTTTTGCCTACCCGGCCTACACGAGAAGGTTTACTCTCGGAACTACAATTTTGTTTGCAAACGCTGAGCTTGCGATACAAGGCTTTTTATGTCGGGGACAGGGCCTGAAGGATTTTCCATGTTTCCCCTTGCAAGAACCGTGCGTGATTCCTTGCAGGTAGCCGTGTTCGAGGTTCCTGTTCGAAACAGCAGCTCGGTCTGCAAGGGATCGGCATCCTCTTGGGCTTCGGGGAGCCTGTAAGCCTCTTTCGTCGTAGTTCAGATCTTTCAGGGAACAGGAATTTGCAAGTAAGGGTTGAGGGTGTGGGGATAGGTTTCCGATGTTGCTGCTCTCTCCGTTCGGGGCCTCTGAAATATTAGCCCGCAGTGATGCCTGCAACGTTTGCTTCAAACTCCGAGTCTGAACTCGCAAACCCGAAGCCCCACATCTCTAAACCCCAAAACCGCTGCGAGCGCGGAGCTCGCAGCCCTCATGCTAAACCCGGTCGAGGGCGAGAACCGGATGGAGCGCAAGGCAAGCCAAGGATGCTGTACACACAGCAAAGGCTTAGACCATCCTTGGCCTTACACCCAAATCCCAAGCCGTAAACCCTATGCGCTAAACGTGCACGTGCTTCAGCCCAGGTGGGCACTGGACAGGCAAGCGGCTCGACCAGCAAGTAGAGGAGGCTTAACCCTTACACCTTACACTTGTGTGTAAACGTATACCATAATGAATCCAACACCCTATTCTACTCATTCCATCCCCGGTTTATGAGGATCTGAAGTGCATTCTAAGGTTCGCTGACAAACGTCGCCCCTTGGCTTTGTGAAGGCAGATGGAGTTCTTGTCATTGCTTATGGCTGCTAAAGGGTTGCTAAAGGGTTACTATAGGTGACGGTTCATAAGGCCTGATTGGGAGTGGGTAATGTGGGAGCATATGGATTCAGGTCTTCCGGGGTCTGAAATGCCCCACCCGCCGTATCCTTAAGATCCAAATCTCAATCCAAGACGAAAAGTAGGCGGCCTCCCAGAGCATAAGAGTTTAGGGTTTAGGGTTGCCGTTACACTCGAAATCCGAATGGGCCCTGATTGAAACCCAAGCTGCAACAGCTCCTAAGAAGCCCTGCGCAATGATGAATCCCAATGCTCAAACCCCAGAAGCCCCAAAGGCTCCATGATTCCTGAGTCCTATGAACCCTCAACTCCCTTAACAACTCCTCCAGAACCCCCAAGCTATGATCAACCCTAAACCCTCAACTCCCTTAAGACTTCTCAGCAGCCCCAAGGTATGATCAACCCTTAACCCTAACCCTCTACTCGCGTATGGCTCCTGAAGAAGCCCAAAGGTATGATCAACCCTGCCACCGGCCAGCGCTTCAAGCTCTCGGACCTTCGCGTAGGCGCCACGGATCAGTTTTAGGGGTTTGGAGTTTGGTGAGGTTGAGGGTCTAAAGCAGGAAGCCCCAAAATTCATAAAGCCCTAGGCCCGTAGATCCTGAACCTTAGTGCGTGAACTAAACCGCTTGTTGAAGCAAAACCAGCAGTCTGCATGAGCAGAACAACTGTCTCCATGGGCTTTCGTGGGGTTGGAGGAGGTTCGGAGTTGTTGAGTTTTCCTCAAAAGCCTGGCCCGAAAGCCACTCCCCAAACCACTGACAATCCAAAGCACCAAGCCGCAACCTAAAACCCCGAAGCTCTACGACTCTTGAGCCATGAAACATAAGATTACATTAGGATCTTCAGAAAATCGTTTCTACACATGCCGTGCACCCAGACTTTATTTATCGTCGCATCGAGTCCCTATCCGACTCGTCAAAGCCAACCACCTGGACCGCTTAAGAGTTTTCGCCCGCACAAGGTTCGAGGCTTTGTGGTCTGATTTGGATGTGTTCGTGCTTGGTAATGTCCTAGAACCTTACACCGTGAGGGACCACGGTGACGATGGCGGGGCAGCCGTTGTACATCACCCGTGCCGACGAACGCTGCCTACAGTTTCTTGAGGCCGGGTTCTACAGCCCTTACCCCCCGAACCCTCAGCCCTCTTTCCTGAACCATGAAGCTTCAGCCCTCAAGCCTAAACCTTCCTTCGAAAGCCCTGAACCCCGATACCCAAAAGCCCGAACTCGAACGGCTACTGTCGGTCGCGCATTCGGATATTGAGCTCGGTTTCGTTGGTCTGCGTTGCTTGGGTTCAGGCTTGAACATTCTGGCTACGCCCCATGCCGATGAGTACAACGCACTACCCTGCAAACCTGACTACACTCAAGTGACGCAGGTTTGAAGTCCTGACGCCAGAAGCCCCAACCTCGAAACCCTGAAGCCCTCAACTCAAGACCTTGAGCCGTGCCTGGTCCTTGTTCCGCCGCTGAGGTTTGGAGTACGAAGCTAGTCAATTTCAATCATGAGCACTAACTTGGCGCCCTTAACCCTAAGCCACAAACTACTAAATCCCTAAATCCCTTTCTTGGGGGCGCTCATCGTCGCAAACCTACCAGACAAAATGGGGCTGACTGACGAGTAACATAGTCTTCGATGCTAAATACGTTCAGGCGCGACCGAAGCAGTTTCCTTACGTTGCTTGGCCGGCAAGACGGGTTGTCGCAAACAGTGGTTCATCATTGAGTGTTCGTCAGGATTTCCCGCAATTACTTGGTGACTCAGTACTACTGTTTGCCTGTGCGTATCGCCATACAGGTTTTGTGCGATTACCCCGACTGGTACTTGTAGTACGATTACCATCATTGTGGTAGTGTTGGTCATGGTCGTCATGCTGTTATAAATAATAATGCTGATCGGATCGAAAGATCATGATGGTGCTCATTGTCCGCTACACTATCACCAGGTCTGTGGGCAGTCCCTCACGCTTGGCGAGCGTGAAGCGACTCTAGAACCTCCACGCTTCATCCGCGCCTGCATCAGCCACGGACACATGCATTATGTATGTGTGTGTGTACATAATATATATATATATATATATATATATATGTATGTATGTATGTCTGTATGTATATATGTATATGAAGTATGTACATATCTATATATCCCAATGCGTTGACAACATGTACTAGTCTGTTCCAGCTGCCCGAAACCTCGCAGCCTTCCTCTCGGTTTCGGATGCTGCCTTCTTGCCCAAGGGGCAGGGAACATGGATCCAGGATTCGGGAATGAGGCTAGACTCGAGTGGTCAGGGCCGAAGGTTTAGGGGTTGGGTTGAGGGTTTAGGATCTAGTGGGTAGCTCTAGGGTTTAAGATCTAGGGGCTCCGGTTGTTGCGTCCTAAGCAGAGCCATTACAACGTTGTAGGGGGAAGTGTACTGCGCCCAGGCAGACCCAATTGCCTGCACCGGCCTCAGTTGTCTCATTCGGGCCCTAAGCCAGCGTAAGCCTCTAAACCCTAAGCTCTCCACATCCCAAGCCGCAAGCCCGCAACCCAAAACCTTAAACCTCAATCTCAGCCTAAAGTCTGGATAGAAAAGCCTTTCATGTTTCGGGTTTGGGATTGGTGGTCCGGACAAACTTGCACTTGTATCCGTTCCGGTATTTTGGCTTGGCGTTTCTTTATGCATCGCTGTAGAATTGAGGAGAAGTATGCACAGCAGCTGGGCTTTTTGCTTGCCGGTTAGGTTCAGCGCTTCTGCCCTTGAACTGCTGTATCCCCCCGACAAGCGCCTTACAGAGGTGGAGAAGGTAAGGTACCTTCTTGCGACGCGGGGACATGTCCCAAAAAGCTCAGACTTGAGCCTGCGCAGTTGAGGGTCTAGACTTTCTGAATTCAGGGTTGAAGGCCCCGAAGCCTTACAACTATGACTCACAAGCCCGACATCCCATATCCCAAAGCACAAGTAGACATGAAGTTTGCCCTCAAGCTCGAACTTCCGATCCGTAATCTAAGAGCAGCAATCGGACCTGAAGGCGCGAAGAAGTTGGCCGCGCTGAAGGGTGAGCCAGAGATGGAAGATCCAGCCGGGGCCTTCTTTTGGAGTTTCGGATGTTGGAGCGTCAAGGCCTAAGAGCTAAGGGCTTTCGGTCCCTGCACCCTAACACCCGAGACAGTAACCCGAATCCGAGATCGGGGAGGTTGATTCTGGTTGAGATGCTTTGTATATAAGTTTTGTTGTCGTTTCCCGGTTGGGATCCGGATTCTTCGCCATCTCCCTGCACGGAACCCCTAAACCCCAATCTCAGACAGGACGGCGTTGATCCGGATCGGCTGAAAGAGCAGCTCGTCTTGGTTGAGGGGCTTGGGCATCAGGTCGTTGATCGACGCCTCTCCATCAACGCAAATTCGCACCTACGAGTCGATCATTGCTTCACTCATTATTCTCGGCCGGTTGTTGTATGTATCCTGCTGCAACAGATGTTTCGCTTTTTGCGTGCTGTCGTGTATGGCATGGTCCGAGGTTTAGGTATCTTGTTTGGGATCTAGCGAATGAGGCCTTGACCTGTTAGAGGGCACTGCATTGTGTTCTTATCTTGTCATGATCATGGGCACAGCTGGACAGAACAGCTGAAAAGAATGGAACTGTGGAGTCTCTGGAGCATGTGATGCTGAAGTCGTCCATCTCGCTAAGATGATGCAGCATGCTAGAGCCTGAAAAGTAGGCAGTGTGCTAAATTAGCATCTGCAGAACTCCTGCACGAAACACGCCAACCATCATCCAAACCTAGACGCTACCAAGCCCTACACCGTTTGTTTGAAACCTAAAGGCCCCAAGCCCTAAAGCCTAAAACGCTAAGCAGTAAAGCCAAAAACTCCAAGCCCTTAAGCCCAAAGCCCCAAACCCTAGGAGCCAAAGACCTACAAGCAAGGTTAGCCTTGAGCCTGGGTCTAGACATCGTGGATCACGAGATCGTGACGGCACCTCCTATGCAAACAGTTGCCTTGGTCGGAGGGGGGGTGGGCTTGCAGCAGAGCTTTGGGTTTAGCTGTCACCCAGAAGCCTACGTTTTTGAGGTAAGAGATGGGGACCGGGAGATCATTAGAAGGAACGTAAACAGTGAGTTTGGGTGTTAGAGGCTTCTGATATCGGTGTTGCTGTGACCATGACCCACCTGAAGAAACGAGCCTCTAGACAAGACACAAAGCCATGGCGCCCATCTAAGCCCTAGCAAGGCTCACACCTCGAAGGCCAAGGCTAAAGCTCTAACCCCAAGCCCTGCCTGCCCTACACCCTGAAAGCATCCATCGACATGCTGCAAAATCCGCCCCTAAACCCTAAACCCTAAACCCCAAACCCTTAACTCCACATCCCCGAGCCTCAAGCCATCCCTGCAAAGGTCCTGCGCAGGTTTGGCGTGACCGACGAGGATGGCAATCTCAGGCCGCCGCTGGATACGTGCCATTCATTGTAGGTCTTGCTTCAGGGTGCAGGGTTGAGGGTTCAGGGTTCAGGGTTTGGGGTTTAGGATTCAGAGTTGTAGGGGTCTAAGGTTGAGGGTTTAGGGTTCTAGGACCTGCAACCTGAGCCTGAACCTAGATTATTGATAGCAAGGCCTCCCGAAAACCCTAGCTCGTTCAGGCCCCGGTGATACGATTTTGAATTTGTGGGCAGCTCTCAAAACTGGGGTTCTTCTTATAAGCGTGGCCTACTTTGCCCAAAAGGCTCGTAATCTGAACAGCATAGGCCTGAACCCTTTCCTGGCGACATCCGGGTCCAGGCGAACGCCAGGGGTTTAGGGTTTCATGCCTGGTGTGAGGTGTTGTTGTGCTTCGGGCTTTGGGCATGCAGGATGTCTAGTTTAGGGTGTTGGTTTGAATTACACTAGGGTTCAGGGATATGCAGTTGACGTTCCATCCCTCAAGAGAGGCAGATTTGTCCGGGAGATCGGCATTCGAGAAGCTGTTGATGTTTGGGGTTGAGGCGTATAGCAACTGCCTAGGGCTGTGACACATTTCTTATCCCAAAATCCTAGAGCGCGCTGCACGACGGCTTTGGACAGGATACTGGGCCCCGCTGTGTTGGAAACCGCAGCGGCTCGTGAACGGCCGCAGATGTCAATCCAGACACCCAGCCGGTAGAGATCGAAAAGGCTCCACCCCCAAAACTGGGGGACATGCCAGACGATCTTCAGGTTCAGGGTTCAGGAGTCGCATATTTGCAGTCCAGCCGCCAAGAAGAAAGCATGCTGTCGAGGGTTTAGGGCGCCCCAAGTATAGCAGCTGGAAGGAGGTTTTACAGTTCAGGGCTTGATACTGCGGGTTTTGGGTTTAGGGTTTACGGTGTCTTTTGAGTCTTCGATTCTGACTATTAGGGTGAACGGGATGGCTCAACCTGGACAAGGCAAACACCACACCTTGAATCCCAATTCCGAAACCCTGAAGCAGCCTGGTCTTATTATTTTCTGATCGGAGCCATCTGAAGCCCAAAACCTGTGACCCTTAACTGTCTAACCCGTTACCCTAGATCTTAGCCCCGGCTTCTAGGGATCGCGAAGTGCATGTGCAGTGCCTCATGGCCTGACGTGTTTCACAGCTGCTGCTGAGTGGGAGGCTCTCCCGTCCATATCGTGAGCAGATTTTCGGAATTTGGAGTCAAGTGGTTGGGTTTAGGGTTTAGGGGTTTAGGGTTTAGGGGTTTAGGGTGCAGGGGATAGTAATAGGGGTCAGAGACTTGTGGCATTTGGGGGCTTCAGGTTTCAGGGCCAAGGTTGCCGGATGCTAAGTGCCCTTGAACCCGAAACCCCTAAACCTTAAACCCTTAAACCCCTAAACCCCTAAACCCCTAAACCCTAAACCCCTAAACCCCTAAACCCCTAAACCCCGAAGATCTCGTGAGCCGCCTTCCATGCCAGCTTGTAGGTTCTCTCTGGTTTCACCATCCTGCGCCCCAGATTTCTGCGGACGCGGGGAGAAAAGGAGAGGGCTTCAAGGGTACGGTGGATGATATAAATCCTGCATTACCTTAATGGCCCTAAACTATGGGAATTATGGTATATTCCTTATTATGGGTCATGCAGGATTTATATCATCAACCGTATCTTTCCCAAGCTCCCCTAAACCCTAAACCCGAAAAGCCGCAGATCCTAAGCCATCCTACTCAACCCTAAACCCTAAGCCCCAAGCCCTACGCGCTGTAAGGGGGCCTGGGGTGATTTGATACATGGGCTTCAGGGGTAGACTTCTTCTTCCGGTAATGCCTACGATGGGCATACTTCGAGGCCTGCATTTGTATTCATACTCCTTTTTCCTGTGCTCGTTCCGAACTCTAGTCCTTCACGGCCTCAGCCTGCTTTTTCGGGCAGAAGGTTTTCGGCGTGAGGTCCTCGCTTACAGGGATTTAGAATTTGGATCTGTTCTTGCCATTGACTTCAAAGGAACACAACCTTCATCAGAACATGGGCTTGGTGTATGTCGCATGAGAGCTGCGCACTGGGACTATTGAGGCTTACACTCTCAGTTCTTGAGCCTGCAGCCGCGACTGCCCGCCCTCCGCTCATTACTGCTCGTGCACTGCAGCTGTGACAGCTTGATGCGGACCCAACAGTTCTGGACATAATTGAAAGTTGGTTGCTTGTGCTTGGACATCAGCTTGTAGTCGCGATCCGAATCTCTTCTGCCCTGTTAGTTTCTTCACTGCTGGATCCTGAAGCCTAGCGTAGCCCCCCAGCAAACCAAGAACTCCGCTCCTCGGGGTTGGGGGTTTAGGGTGCAGCGCACCTCATTTTCACGTAACCGAGCCCTGGGCTCGGACATTTCCTCTCCTCACGAAGTTTAGCCGATACTCAAACCTTCTTTTTCTGTTAGAGACTTCTAGAATTTCCAGCCAAACGGCAGCTTCGCTGCATTTCAGCTGCGCCGGATGATGATGCCGCAGTGGAGATCTCCGAGGCCGGTCGGGATTGAGCACGGCAACTGTAACGGTTAATCTCATGATCCGGGCATCCTACCTGATTCTATGAGCGTTATGTGCAACCACGACCCTCAACAATGGACGCATTTCAGAAGGGCAGAATACATCCGGCAGACTCTTTCTGCTCGCTTCATGAGGCCCTCGATCCGAGTCTGAAGTTTCGAGAGATTTTGGCATTGGATTTGAAACCTAGGGCTTTTACTTTTTTTGGGTTCATTGATGAAAGTCGAGGGTCTAAAGCAAGAAGTGTAGGGTCTCTATGACCGGAAGTCGGAGCCGTAAGTTTAGGACATCGAAAGTCCTCTGCCGAAATATCCGGGTTTCCGCTAGACTGCTGGGGGCCCCCAGAATCAGAGGTCCAACCCTCCAAGGAGCCTTTGCAGAGGCGCCCTTACAGTACGTATCGCAAGCCTCCGTAGGAACCCATTAGCGAAGCTTCATGCGATCCGCTGGCTTAGGTGATTCACATCTACAGCTTATGCTGGGGGTGGTGGGCGCTGATAGGCTTAAGGGTTTAGGGTTTACTTTGGGGTCCAGGGGGCATCTTCCCTTAAGGCCAGGGGTTTAGGGTATGAGGGGATCTAAGTCAACATTGCCAACGCCTAAACCATAGTACACTTCAATGATGTAATATAGTACAGAATAGGATTCTGTAATATCATGCGCCCTCAAGATGTTGAGTGATCCCCATCCCAAGAGCTCGTGAAGAGGCTCTCTTCGCGCCCATGAGGGCAGCAGTCATACCAGAAGGTGTTCCAGCTGCAAGGAGGGTTTTAGGGTTTCGAGTTTAGGTGGAGACACTGCATCGGTGCCATGTTGCTGAAACCTCCGCATCTTCAGAGGGAAGACTCGGTCAAGATGATCATGCTTTGTTGTTGTGGATGATGATGTTGATGATGATTTCGCCTGGCAGGCTCACGTTGTTCGTGCACAGTCTCCGCATGAAAGATTGCTGAAACCTCTGGCTGTAAACTGGCCATAGGCATTGAACCTCTAAACCCTAAACCCTAATGGGCTCTCTGGACTTCGGTGCAGAAAAAGGCGCTCAAAACAAAAACCCTAAACCCTAAGCCCTGCACCCTAAAACCCAATCCTTGTACCGAAAAGGAGCCCTTAAGAAACACACCCAGTCCTTAGAGTGCGACACCCGAGACCTAAACCCCCATACTGCCCCCAAAGTCCTGAGGCCGAACCTCAAAAGCATCGGTAGGTTTTGGGGTTTTAGTGTTTTGGGGTGGGTTTTTAGGGTTTTTAGGGTTTTTGGGTTTTTAGGGTTTTGGGTGGTTTTTAGGGTTTAGGGGTTTTAGGGTTTTTGGGTTTTAGGGGTTTTGGGTTTTGGGTTTTTGGGTTTTAGGGTTTTGGGTTTTAAGGTTTTAGGGTTTTTTTGGGTTTTTAGGGTTTGGTGGGTTTAGGGTTTAGGGTTTTTGGGTTTGGGGGTTTTAGGTCTTTTGGGTTTTGGGTTTTTGGGTTTTAGGGTTTGGGGTTTTAAGGTTTCAGGGTTTTAGGGGTTTTGGGGTTTTGGGGTTTTTGGTTTTTGGGTTTTTGGGTTTTGGGGTTTTGGGGCTTTTGGGTTTCGGGGTTTTGGGGTTTATAGAACCATGAAGTAGCTGGGAGTTTTGGAACCCTGCCAAAGTTAATATCCAAGGTCTCCTCTGTCTGAAGGGTTTGGACTTAGGGTTAGGGTTTCGGGATTGGAAACCCCTCTAGACGCCAAGGACCCAACACACTAAACTTAAGACCCTGCGGAGCCATTGCAGGAACCCTTGTAACGCAAGGCCCCGTGAAGCCCAACCCTAAATCCTAAAGAGAAAGACCTCTAAGAAAACAGGCGACCTCCGCCGCTTTCCAATCTGCATCGTTGCGGTCGCCCTGGCTTCCAGGATCGTGCCGTCGTCTGGGCTGTGAGTTTAGAGTTTAGGTTGTAGGGTTTGTGTAATACCCCGAAGAAGGTCCCCACTTATCACTGATTATTGAGTACATCCTGAGCTATGGGGTCATGCTTGATTGATTTTGGGTGTTTGGGATTTGGGATTCCGATTCAGGGTGTCCCTTTGTCCGGCTTGCCACGTAGGGTGACATGTCTGCGAGGGGAAGCGTATGTACGCGCATAGAGGGATCCGGGTTTAGTGTGGCCTATATCAGGACGGCCACCTCGGATCCAACATCCACCTCCTGGGTTGCCCACGATCCTACAGCCCTTAACTTCAAACTGCACCTTACACCTGAAGCCCTAAACTTTGTATTAGCCCCAAAGCGCTGAAGCCTTGAAGGCCTCAACCCCACAAACCCAAAGTCCCCAAAGCCCTTCACCCGAAAACCCGACCTGACGCCCACAGAAGCGTGCGCAAGGATGGCGGAGAGGTCCCGCAACTAGAAGCACGAAGGAACCTGAAACCTTATAAGCCCTGAACCCCACAAGCCTTACACCTTCAACCGTGAACCTAGAACCCCAAAATCCCGGCTTCAGGCTCTCCTGTCGCCTGCCCTACGGTTTCGAGGAGGTGGCAGCGGCCCACGAACTACGGGGAGACCTGGCAGAGGCATGCAAAATGGCTTAAACTGTTCATGATGTTTCCTCTATGATTCCCGTGTTGTTCGGGCTTTGCCATAGAGCCTCCATAGTATGGTCTTAGTAGGATCCTTGTTGGGCCTCCCCTTTTACAACCATAATTGACACATCAAGCTGATCGGCAAGAGGGTAGCCTCAGTATCGCGGTACGCTCGGGAGCCAAGATGTTCGCAAGCCCTCCCCCTTCAGGCGGTTCAGTTCACCCGGGATCACATCTGTGCGGCTGGCGTGCCTGGGATGTAACATCGAGGTTACGATGGTTACGATTCTTTATTACGGTTCCTGAATATAGGTCATACAGGTGTGACATCGAAACCTCCAGAACCCAAGCCTCATCATGAAGGGCTGTCTCTTAGGACCTGGAGTTAAGCTAGGGGCTCAGGGTTCAGGCTCTGTGTAGGGTTAGGCCGTAGGATTGGTTTAAGGTTCAGGATTGGGCAGCATCCAGAATGTGGGAGACAAATGGCTCAGGGTTGGTCAAGGTCTCAGGGTGTAGGATTTTATGGTGCATGGAGTATGCAGGGATATTCAAGGATGTGGGTCCGTTTGTCGACAATTCCCGCTCAGGGGCGTTGGTGTTCCGGTTGTGATACGATACGG